TGTTACAATGGATCTTATGCACCTGCTGAGACAGCTCAGGTTTCGGTCATTTCATAGAACAAAGGGGAAATCATCTCGGGCACCCCCAAGTGGAAATAACTCATAAACAGGCCCACTGAGGACAACGAAACTGGAACGAGAAGGATGTGGTGACTGTAGGCCAGGAATCTAGCTCGTTCTATCCGGCAGTTTCCCTTCTGATGAATCTGCTTAGAAAGAACAAAAGCATCAGCTCCCTGGCTGACACCCAAATGAAGATTAAGTGGAAATACAAGTAAAGCATCACAAAGATGCATTTAGGTCCTATTCCCAACTTTTAAGGAGCTACCTGAAGACTGGCACTCAAGACTCTGGGCCTTTTAAATCTGCTCACTGTGGGGGGCCCGAGAGACAGTACAGCCGGTAGGGCTTTTGCCTTGATCCAGGGTTCATCCCCGGCATCCCACATGGTTCCCTGGGCACAACCAGGAGTGATCCCGGAGTACAGAGCTAAGAGTAAGCCCCGAGCACTGCTGGGTGCGGCCCCAAAACAAAAATATTAAAAACCAAAAACCAACCCCAAAAACGTAAATTTGCTCACCGAAGGATTACTTTCAAGAAATTAATGTTTATAGACTCTACATAGTCACTACCTAAACAACTTTCCCATTCTTTATTTAGAAATATCACACATACAAAAAGCACATAAACAGAGTTTTAAAAGATTCCCCCCAAACCCAGCTTTTGCAAGTATATCACCAGTTCCTCTGAAGGTTCCCTTTGTCCTCCACGATTTCATCTCCCTCCATCCTCCAATGTAACAGATATAATTGTGGGCTTTATTTTTCAATCCTCGCTTCTCTTTCATTACTGTATTATTTAACAGCCTGATTGCGACTTTCATGGAAATGCCACCACAGCCAATGGCTTCTTCTGAGACATGCTCTTTCTGACCATACTGCTGAGGATCACTCCTGCTCATTGTGCAGCTGCAGTTCTGGTTGACTTCTGTGGAATTCCATTGCAGGAATAAGCCACATAATGTTTATCCAATCGACGAGCTGTTGGCAGACATTGGGGGCTTCCCAAGTTGCTTCCTCTCCCTTTTCTTCCTATTAGAGTTATTACTGTGACGTTCTTACATCTCCTAACACATGAACAACATCTCTAAGGTTGAATAGGCATGTGGTAAGTTATGGCATGCCAAACCTGGTTATAGGACAGTCTATTTTCTGGGCTGTTATTTTAGAACAACTTATATCTGCTGAGAACCCTCTACATAGAATGCTTAAGGGGAACAGACAGATCAACTACGAAACTCAACTGCATTTGTAAAACAGGAAATTTAAAAAAATAAGGCACAACAATAAAACATACATTTATGTTTTACTTGTCAATATACTTACAAAAATTACATGTAAGAAGTGCTGCTTCCTAAAAACATGTTTCCAAATATACTGAGTAAAAACAGCAAGAAATCAGAACATCCGTGTACCATTACAGTTCTCACATCACCACCACACAACCACACACATGCGAACATCCACACCCCAAGCACCTGGAAGAGTAACTGCTAACAGCAATGGCTACTCGGGGAGGATGGAAGGTGTGGTGTGGAAGGGAGACAGAGATCACTCACCATACTTATATCGCAATTTCTGGAAACATCTCATTATACAAGGATTGTAACTGTATTACCGTATTTTCCCAAAGTGGCCATCAGGGGTTTTCATGACCAAATATCAAACTTAAACACAACCTGGAATAAAATGCCACCCACAGAAAACATGTAAAATACAATCCTTTTCTGTTTCACGTACCCAAATGTTGAAAATCATTTCCAACACTTTCTCCCTTAATTCCCCATGATGGGGATCAAATCCAGGGCCTCACACTACCAAGGCAGGAACTTTACTGCTGAGCTACATTCCTAATCCAAGTAACACCAAGTGTTGTTTTGGGCGGTGGGGGGAACCTCGGAGGACCTGGGGGCCACTCCAGGCAATACTCAACCAAATCAGCTGGACTTGAGCAACTTATTTTTGAACTTTCCATGCTAAACTGGTCTTTTTTTTGGGGGGGGGGGAGGGAGAATGTTGGGCCACACCTAGCTGTGCTCAGGGATCATTCCTGGCAGGCTCGAGACACCGTATGGGATGCCAAGGACCAAACCTAGGTTGGTTGTGTGCAAGACAAGCACCCTACCCGCTGTACTATCACTCCAGCCCCTAATTTGTTTGATCTTATCTCAAGAAATTGTAACCACTAGGTGAGGTTGGCTGAAATCAACCTGCATGTTGTCTAAGTATATCCTCAGACCTTGGAAACAGGGTTATGAAGTGGTAGTAACAGTATGTAAGAAATAAGAGATGCTTTAATTCAAAATGTATTATGGTCTCTCTGAAGAAAAACCATGTTGTAACAAGAGTCTCTACACAGCAGAGGAAATCGAGGCAGCAGACGCAAATGACTGGGCCCCTTGAGAGGCACGATGGAAAGCCATCCAACTGGAACGACAGTTCTGCTCAGTTCATCCAACTTCTTTATTAACTATTATGTAAATCCTTTTATATACATGATTAAGTATTTACAAGATCTATGCCCCGGGCATGCTTGAAAATTAAAATATCATAAGTTATGGAAGACAGATATACATAAGTCTTATTGCTGGTTTTAACAGAGTAAAAGAGTATTTACTCTTGTGTACATTGAAAAAAAAAAGCACCGATCCCTATCTATCAAGTAATCTTATTAACCAATGATGTATCTTAAAAGCCTTTTATTTCTTTGGAGGGGACCAAACCACGGGGTGCTCAGGGGCCACTCCTGATAGTACCGAGGGACCATACACAGTACTGTGGGTTGAAATAGTGTCAGCTGTGTACAAAGAAAATGCCTAATCCAAGTTCTCTTTTCCCCTTAAAGATTTTTTCAGAGGAAACATGCACTAGCTGACTGATTTTAATTTGCATGCATGTATATTTCTCACAGTAATTTAGTATGTTTATATTAGTACATTTATATTGGAAACGTAAATTTATATTGGAAACGTGAATTTATTTACTAATGATCACTTCACATAATAGCATACTTTGGAGTACTGGAGGCAAGCCTATTTCCAGATTTTTACTATGGCAAGGTCTTGCCTCAGTCATGGAAAGAGACCTTAATTAGGGTCCAAGCCTCCTTCCCAAACCCTACAATAACATCAACAGTGATCAACAGACGTAAGTACCCAGAGAAATAAAATTGAAAACTTTTACCATACTTCATTAAGTTAGCTAATAATTCTAGATGAAGCGAAAGACAATCTGGCAGTTTTCTACTACCTTAATAATTTGGCTTTGGCATTTTAGTAAATTTCTACTTAGTAATAAAATACAGTAAATGACTTTTATTTGGGGAGAGTTTGAGGCCACACCTCACATTGCTCAGGGGCTCTGAGTGATGGCACTCAGGGGACCATATGGTGCGCAGTACTGAATGTGGATTGGCATACCACGCAAGGCAAGCACGTTATCTCCTGTGCTCTCTCTGGGTCACATACACTATCATTCAAAAAAGTCTCTGACACCTCTAAGAGTAATCTGGTCAAACTATACAAAGCAGTGCTTAGGAGATGTTGGGCTTTGTGTTAGGTTGCCTTCCCTCACACTGTCCAGGTTTTAGGTCACACTGGGTCATGCTAAGGGGACCACACAGTGCTGTGAATCAAACCCCAGGCTCTGCTACTAAGCTACATTCCCAGTCCCTGCACTGCACCTTGCTCCTCATGTGAATCACAGCTAATAAATCCAGATATCCTAGTCCTACCCATGCTGCTTCTCTAGAATCTGCTAAAGAAACCACCCTAGTCCTGAACTACTTAATGGTTATTTGTACTCGACAACAGTTTCCATTTGTGGCAGTTTCCCCCAGTGGGCTGCACCTTCTAGTCAAGCTGCACGGTAGGCTGCGCCACAGGCTTGGCTTCTGTAATTACACTCAACGACAAAACTGCCAAAGATGCATTTCTCAGATCCACTGTCATTAAGAAAAGCATGACTGACTGTCCCACGACACTGCAGTGGCAGCTTCATGATTCCGCAAAGTCTGTGAGGGGTTCTGAGACACCCTGCTGGCCCCAGCTCACGATGCCCGCATTGCAGAAGGCAATGGCCTGCCAATGCAGCAATTGTACCAGGAGACACAGAGCTGAGCCGAGGGGCAGTTCCCTGGCAATGGGAGACTCCTGACAAATCATCTAATCTACTGAGCTTCTCACTCTGAACAGATGGAAACATATGAAAATTATGAATCACAAATAATTGCTATATGTAGCTGAAAATGAGCTTTTATACAATTGACAAAGCTGGCTACAGACAGAAACATGCTGCCAGCACTGGTATATGAGACATAAAAATAACTACCTGCTTAGTATCAGTTTCTAAAATATCTTCATAATGTGGGCTACAACCCCCCCATACACAGGTTTACTATACCCCAATACATAGAAATAGATACATTTGTAATCTGACCAGACCAAGTGAAAAAGAACTATTGATACAGGATTTAAAATAAAGACCAAAAACTACTTGAAAGTTTTGAATGCGCTTCTATATTATCTCAAAACTATAGTGTTTATCAAGATCATTTTAAATTTTCTGTTAAAGAAATCTCTTGGGGAATGTATAAATATATCCTAACTCACTGCACATTTTTGCTATTAAAAGCAAAATCAAAGTTATTCATCATCACCCAAAATTGAAGCACCATTATTAAAACATTTAAACTGTGGAAATTTTATAAAAATTAGTCTTAAACAGAGCCAGTCAGATAAAACTGTACTTGTAGATTAACAGTGTACCTCATATATATTTAAAACAAGGGACTAGTTCAGAGTCAATAACTTTATTAGAAAAAGATTAATACTAAAGCTTTGCAATGACAGAGACAAATTTGTAACAGAAAGTCAGAGATACTTTATTTTCACTTCTAAATCCAAAGGCTAGGATAGCAGAGTTGTAAAAATGGAATCCCACTTATGATTCACACAAATACTAATGTTTAATCCTGTTTTCAAAGTCCAAGAATGAAAACTTGCAATTCAACACTGAGCAAGCCACATGTTTAGGTAATATTTCTTAAAAAGTCTTAAAAGAAAAAAATATGATACAGGACCTAAGTTTTCAGTGGCATATATGCTATTAACACGTTTTGAAATCTGGTAGGTCACATCAGTCCTGAATTAATTTTTAAAATAATAATTAAAAAAACAAACAACTAACTGAGCTTTATACTTTTTCTATGCCACTATATCTTTCTTTCACCTCATTTTAATGCCGATCTTCACTTTATGCCGTTTTCCGTATTCTTCTCAAAAAATCTTCGAACAGTAATCCTACAATGCAAAATTTGGGGAAAAATGATAATTAGACAGCATGTAAAAAGGCAAAAGTTTACGACTAAGTGTTGGCCCAGTCACTAACTGCTAATTAATATGTATCTGGAATGTTTGTATTCTTACATTATCAAGGCATCTGTGTGGTCTTAAAGCCATGTGCCTGTGTATGCCCGACTAAGTGTGAAAGGCTCACACAGATATCTAGAGCACTGCACTGCGGTCCTAGAAAAGTCACGCCATCACAATCAGCTAAATTGGTACTTCCTTTCAGTAGGAGTATTTTATCCCACGCCACTAGCCCAAAGAATGAACAGTTTAAAGGTTTCAAGAACTCTGATGAAATCTGACTTAAGTTCTTTAAAACCCCAAATTCTACACAATTCATCAGTTCTTTGTCTTTCACAGACTGAAGGTACCTATCCTTGCTATTCACTGCTGCTTAAATGTACCAGCCAGTGACTGCTTCTATCTACCTATGGTTGACTGCTAATTCTCCTACGCAGTAGGAAATATTAAACACATACCTCTTAAAGACTTGAGAATTGCATTGAATGTAACAAGGCGAATAATATGAAGTGTTTATTGTATTTTTAATTCTTTAAAGATATCTAATTCTGGGCACCACTGCATCCCTACATACAGTTGAAGAAAAATTCCATTCTGTTAACATTTGATTTATTAAGTTTTCACGCAATACACAAAAAACCCCTCTGCACTTCTTGTAAAGAACAAAAAGATACACAACAATTAAGCGTCAAGATCACAGGCAATAGCATTCAAACATGGATGTGGGTAGAGAAAGGAGTACCTGGCATGAGTACCTGCTTAGTTTGACTGAATCCTTGATTTTTAATTTGGCTTTTCATGGGCCGCTCACAACACCAACGCTGTGTGAGGTATGGTAGTCAGCTGCAATAATTCATAAACCCTACACTTCCATCAATCCAATGCTACTGGCTCTCGAGTTACAGAACAAACTGCATTAGAATGCAAGGCAATAAAGCAAAAACTAGAAACATCCTTGACAAAGAAATACTAGCAGTTTAATTAAAACAAAGTAGTCCAACATGTGCCTCAGAAATATTAAGGTTTTTTTTTAAAGTTTATGTCTCTGCCAATGTACCAACACAAGATGGACTTAATACCAAAAAGAAAAAAAAAACAGTTCAACCTTTTTATTTAAAAAAAAAAGAGAAATGACAGCAAAATCCCTAAAAAAAGGATAATTAACTTTTCAATGGCGACTATATTACAAATGTGGGCAGTAACTTCCAAAGAGGCACACTAATGGGGGCACGAGTCCGCTACAAAATAGCTGAGACAAAACAATGTACCTCAAAATGTTTTGCAGGACTACACTGTCTTTTCCTTCAGAAGATGCTTTTGCATGTCTTCTTACACGGCTTAGTTCCATCTTCATCTGTGCATACTTACGCTGCACTGTCAAACAGTAACAAAAAGCCCTAATCAAAGTGAGAAACAATACACTTACCTCTGTCTGATCTGAGGTCTTATCAGATCAGTTTTAATTGGACTGAGTGTCACCTTCAGATTTAATGTCTTCACTGGTCCCATTGACCTCATTCTTAGTATCACTTTCCTTTGATTCAGTGTTTGGGTCTTCACTCTGTTTTTCTCGACTACTGGACTTCACACTACTTTTTTTATCATCAGATCCCCTCTTTTCTGCCATAAAAGAAGACATTAATCATGGATTTTAAAGTAAAATATAACACATACTTGACACTGAAAAGTGAAACAGATACGAAAAGACAATCATTTCTCACAGAAAGCAACACAATCTGGCAAGTGTATCAAAAGGATAAGAATTTGTTATCAGGAGATAAGGAAAGCAAAGAACAGTAGGCAAATGTTCTCAGATTGCTGAAAAGCAGACAATACCAAATCACTACACTGGAATCTACAGTAAATTTCATTCAAATGGAGTAAAGAACAACAAAAAGCAAGGAGGAATATATGAAAGATAGTACATTAAAGTGATTTATATTAAGTACTACAAACAGGTCCAAAGGTAAAACATTGAGTGTCTATGATAAAGGCATTTCTATACAACTCTGTACTTCTGATGCAAAAGATTACCTATATTTACATAACCAAAGGACAAACCTAATACTACTCAAAATAAATTCTAAATCCCAACCCAAATAGCTGAACTTACAAAAATTTACCAAAAATATGCTATATAGAAGGGCTTTCCCCCCCAATTTCTCCCTAAAAAAGGAGAAATTAAAATTCAATTCAGTCAAAAAAGGTCTTAGTAGTTTTCCGTATCGTACTCTTTGCAATAATAAAATCTCAAACTAGAGGCAAAGATGTGGTAGATGGAGCAAGTAGTTTTTTTACATTTCCAAGCAATGTCTACAGATTTCCACAGAATTGTTAGTGATATAAATATAATTTCCCTCATAAAAATAAGAACAGCTGATCTCGAGCAGAACAGTTCGTAAGACAGAAACACATTTTAAGATAAGCAGAGCCCTCGACATACCTAGGACAGTTACTCAGACACAACACCAAATAACTGGAGGAGGGATGGAAATGAAAACAAAACAGGATGTGGCGGTCACGCAAAGATGTAAGAACTGAAGATCTTAAATGAAATATTCAGTCCATAATACATGCAAAACGCAAAAAAGCAATGTCCAAGTAGCTAAGAGCAGGACTTGCTTCAACTCTGTCTGTCCACTGGGGAACTGTGCCAACAGTGTGCTCTAACTGACCTTGTGGGAAAGTCCTCCCTTTGTGCCTTATGGGCTTCTCCGGTGCACAGGTGGCTTCAATGAGGAAGAGTCGTCTTGTTGCCCCGTAGAGGACTAGTAGTCAGTCCAATAATCTTATCTTCTGCCCTATGTAAATATGGTAGATCTTAATAGTCCAAAGGACATCCACAAAATGTGGTGGATTACAGGACTGGATTTTTCAAAAAAGCAAGGTCTCTTGACAAAGAGAGCATCTTAAACTGTTTGAAGAAAAAGGCTTCTGTGAGAAACCACTTTCCAATTGTGGAGTTTGATTAACTGCTTCTGTCACAGCACAGTGCAGCAGTGGTGAATCTGCTTATTTCCCATTACCTAAGGCTGCTACTACTCACCCCCAGCCTCAATGTCCAGGGCTTCAGTCACAATACACTGTGGAGTGCCCAAATGAGGGACTGGATGGCGTCCACAAAAGAGACCCCAAAGGTTAAGGTAACCCTTTAAAGGAATATCCAATTTTTCAAGACGGATCTGATAAGAGTTTTTCTCTGAATCTTCTTTCCTTCCCTCCATATCTCCTGACGCAAATCCTTGAGTGTCCATATCTATACGTAATGTGATCTATTTAAACAAAAGTTCTATTAAATTTCTTGAGATCATAAGCACTTGAGGACCTTTTATCGCTCTATCCAGAAATTATACAAACACATGAATCTGGAGAGCTAGTACAGTAAGTTGGGTGCTTGCCTTATGTGTAGTTGACCTGGGTTCAATCACTGGCATCCCATCAGTCCACCAGGAGTGAGCTCTGAATGCAGAGCCAGAAGTCAGGTCTAAGCACTGCGAACTAAAGCCCCAAAACCAAAAACAAAACCAAAACGGTAATAAAATTACAAAAACACATCTGCTTCTCTCATCAAACTAGTGACTTCCTGTTGGTTCAAGTCTGATCCCAGTTATAAAGATTAGGCAGCTAATGTCCATGAGAATCAATCCAGTGATACCAAAGACAATACAGAAGGGCTTTAGTTTCCAAACCAAATGAGTAATATGATCTGACACTTGTGTGTAGCTCAAGGGTTGTCACTCACTCCAAAAAGACTACAAAAAGTCTTACTCAAAAAAAAAAAAAAGAAATTGGGTGAAGCTCTCTTTATACTAATGTATAAACAAATGTAGAATCAGTCAAAATTAGTTAACCCTTTGTGGCAATTGCCTTTTGAATTGCCACATTTTTGAACTCAAATGGTAAAAACTAAATCTTGTGGCAATAGGTTAAAAAAAAAAACCATCATTTTCCTTTTTAATATTTACTCCAAATTGTAGAAAAAGCCAATTTAGGGAGGGAGAGAGGGTGGCAGGGAAGGAAGGGGAGAGGGAGAGGGAGAGAGAGGGGAGAAGGAAAGAAAGAGGGAGGGAGAGAGAAAAGAGATGGGGCGGGTAGAGAGAGAAAAAGGGAGAGGGAGAAGAAGGCGCTAAGGTGCCTGCCTTGCATCCATCCTGGGGACCCTGGTTCTAATTCTCAGAACATGATCCCCCTATTCCCAGCACTGCCAAGGGTGATGCCTGAGGACAGAGCCAGGACTAGTCTGCAAGCAGCCAGGTGTGGCCCTTCCAACACCCCCCCCCCCCAAAAAAATAAAACGGGAGAGGCCTCCTCACAGTATAAAATACACTTATCTAAAGAAAACTGAAAGCATAAGACTAAAATATGTATCTATTCTGTGTGCTCCTAGCACTGGGTCCAATAAAAACCCGAGTCTAGCCAAAACAAACAGAACAGCTTACTCAGGCATTCTACAAAAGAAAACAATGGGCATCATGTAAAAGACCAGTATTTTATAAGCTCAACAGTAGCACATGTTGGTGATCACATATGACACAGACAGACAGGCAGAACAAGATGGAATAAGCACAGCCAAGAAAGTAAGAAATAGGAACGCCCTCTCATTCCCAAAAACCATGCAGTATAGCCCCAGGAAGTGAAGTAAAAGATGCTGGCAGACTAAAAAAATGCATAAAGGAAATGCTGATTAAATAAATTTCAATACACTAAGTTAAAAGGTAAGATGATCTTTGTGAAAACATGCAAAATGTTTTAAACTCTATTAATAGTGCCTAGTGAACCAGCCTCTGGAATGTCAATAAAAATAAAGTAAGGACCAGAGACAGTACAGCTAGTAGAGTTCTGGCCTTACATGCAGCCAACCAGGTTTGATCCCCAGCACCAAGGCCTCTCAGGAGCGATTGCTGAGTGCAAAGCCAGGAGTAAGCCCTGAGTACCATCGAGTGTGGCCCCAAAACAACATAGAATTTTAAAACAAAAATGAAAGGGAAAGAGTGAAAAGCACGGTTTCTCATGTAAGATATTCAAGGTCTGTGAACTCAGGTTAAGTGAATGTTGTACATGAAGACCAATGCAACAATGAATATTTATTCTGTACTACGTATGAAATACTGTAGCAAACTTTTAAAATGCAGCCAATAACCAAGATAATAAATTTCACTGACTAGTAACTCAGGCAGGTAATCCAATACCTTAAAGAATCTAAATGATAAAACTGGAAAGAATACAGGGATTAAGGCTGCTGCTTGCTCTGAATCCTCCAGCCTCAGGTTCGGTCCCAGGTACGCAGACACACATGATGTGCTGAGCACCGCCAGGAGTGATCCTGGAGCACCACAGAATGGGGCTCAAAAAACAAACTTTCAGGTTACAAACGGAAAGATGTGATTTTAACATGCTCTATAAAAATCCCAGGCCAACTGTCATTCTCACAAATCAGAGCAGGAGAGGGTAATAGAATACTGCCAGTCTATTACTGTGTAGCGCTCAGTTTGAAATGGAACTCTGCCTCTGTCCACAGAAGAGTGACTGGGGAGAGAAGAGTGAAAATACCTTAAAGATTTCAATTTTCACATGAACTCACCTTTCTCCTTGGATTTTCTATCTTGTTCTCGTTCCCGACTTTTGCTCCTGTGCTTATATGACTTTCGATCCCGGCTTTTTGATCTTCTTCGGTCCCGGCTACGAGATCTATGCTTTCTTTCAGATCTATCATGACTCCTGCTTCGTCGTCGATCTCTACTTCTTTAACAATTAAAAACAAAAGGAAAGTAACTTAAATTAAAAACAGATTTTGAATAATTATATACTGTTGAATAAATCAAAGAACTTTGGGCCGGAGAGACAATACAGCAGGTAAGTACTTGCTGGGCATGCAGCCAAACCAGGTTTGATCCCCAGTAGACGTATATTCCCTAGAGAAGTCCCTCCAAACCCCCCAAAATCCAACCCCTCCCTAAAAAAATATGGTTAATTCAATTTTTTGTTTCAAATTTTTAGTTCCTTCATTACACTTGATGCTGTTCAAAGCAAAGTAGATGATCTCACCAAGAATCTCTCACAACTTTTATTTTAGGGTACTTTTGGGGGGTGGGGGGGTTTCACACCCAGCGATACTCAGGGGTTACTCCTAGCTTTACACTCAGGAATCACTCCTGGCAGTTGTGTGACAGTGTGCGTGTGGGATGCTGGATATCAAACCTGGGTGGGACTCACCCAAGGCAAACACCCTAACCACTCTCTAGCCCCAGAATAACTTTTAAAGTAATTACCATCAAGATGAATTCAACCCTCATAACACAACAGCAGCAGAGCCTTACAAGGGCCAGGGAAAATGAGCTATCACGGATGTTTATGATTTTTATGCACATTCACTATACCTGCTTCGCCTTCTCTCTCTACTTCGTGATCTTTTGTGATCTCGAGACCGGCTACATCTCCTGTCAGAAGTTCGACTTGAATGTCGACTTCGTGACCGGCTTCGCTTTCTTCTCTCTCTGTCTCGAGCCCTTTCTTTTTCTCTTTCTTCCTCTTCTCTTCGTCTTTTCCTTTCTCTTTCTTCCCTTTCTCTCTCCCGCTCTTTCTCTCTTTCTTCTCGTTCCTGTTTCTCCTTTTTCAAACGCTCATCACGATCTGGTTCTTCAGTTCTTTTTCTTAATTTCTCCTAAGGAAATTAAATTGGTTTATATACAATTCTAATCAAAGAGATAAGCAATGGTTTCTGAATATGAAGCAAGCTGCACATCAACTCAGAATTTAGTACTCCACAAGGGAAAAGTGGCAATCTGAACACCATGTATGCACACAAGATGTCATATACCATATATTTAACAAAGGACTAATTATCTAAAACAAACAGGGTACTCACATAAGAACAAAAAAAATCAATTCAAAGGCCAAAGCATGGGCGGAATCCAAGGAGATATATGCACAACTCTATTTACAACAGTATCCCAAAAGTGTCCCAAATGTCCTACAATAGATAATGGATATAGAAATTGTGGTGTGGGGGCCCGAGTGGTAGTTCAGTAAGTAGGGCATTTGCTTGCAAGCAGACAAGCCGGTTCGAATTCCAACACCCCATATGGATCCCTGAGCACAGAGCCAGGAGTAAGTTCTGCAGTATCGGGTGTGGCCCAAAAACCAAACCAAACAGGGGTTGGGTGAGAACTAGAAGTGACCTAACACAGTGGTAGGCATATTGGTAGGGTTACAGTAACTTTGACACCAAAAGCATTTTAACACTATTGTAAAGAAAGTCCTCTCGGGGCTGGAGAGATAGCACAGCGGGTAGGGAGTTTGTCTTGCACACAGCCAACATGGCCAACCCTGGTTCGATTCCCAGCATCCCATATGGTCCCCAGAGCACCGCCAGGAGTAATTCCTGAGTGCATGAGCCAGGAGTAACCCCTGAGCATCGCTGGGTGTGACCCCCCCCCCAAAAAAAGAAAGTCCTCCCAATAAATTTTCAACTTAATACATAAAAAAGAAAAGTTTGACTTAGAGGGGCTGGAGTGATAGCACAGCGGGTAGGGCGTTTGCCTTGCACGCGGCCGACCAAGGTTGAATTCCCAGCATCCCATATGGTCCCCTGAGCATCGCCAGGAGTAATTCCTGAGTGCAAAGCCAGGAGTAACCCCTGACCATCGCCAGGTGTGACCCCAAAAGCAAAAAAAAAGAAAGTATGACTCAGAAAAACAAAGATGGTTAGAAAGAACTTACTTTTAATTCTTCTACAGTAGCTTTAATTTTAGCATAGCCCATGTGCTGTTTTCCCATCAAATGGTCATCCACCCGGGACTGTGCGTCTCCTACTATCAAAAAGGCTCCACACACTTCACACACTTCCATTTGCTTTTCTTGAGCAGCAAAACTTTCAATAGTCTAGAATGACAAATCAGTTATTGTAAGGGTATCTTGGAAAAAGAGAACAAATTAATATCCCCTAAAGCACTTAAAATATAAAACAGATGTGTTTCCTGAATTTCCACTTGACCATTTTCCCCAAAGCCTAATACTAAGGAACAATTTAGCCTTTTGGGGGGCTTTAAAGCGGCAGCAGCAACATTTAGGGTCACTACTAGTTTCAGTGATCAAATCTGGGGTTCATCTATGCAGAGCATGCATTCCACCCTTTGATCAACTTTCCCAGATCCTACTGGTTCTTTAAAAAGCAAAGTATAGCTGGGCTGGAGAGAGTACAAGGGAAGGGGGCTTGCACGTGACTGATCTGCCTTCAATCCCCAATATCCCATAAGATCCCCTGAATAACTCCGAGCATCACAGGCTGTGCCTCCACCCACCCCACAAAAAGAAGCAAAACATGGCAACAGCAATCAATCTGCTATTTCATTCAGGAAGTAATCCTATAGCATATTTCACAGCTTTGACCAATGACCACACCACCTGGAACAATAACCTAGGGTCAGAGAGAGCTCAACATGATCTGCAGGCAGGAGACTCAGGTTCAACCTCCTGCACTGCACAGTCCCCTAAGCATTGTCAAGTATGCACCGTCCCCTCAAGACTTAACCTACCTTTCAGAAAGCCACTCAGGTTCAACACTACAGACTGCAGCTGCCACATTAAAAAAGCGTTCAAATCATTAAGGAACTGATTATGTGTGAACCAGTGACCAATAATTATACTCCTGTTAATATCCATCTAATAAACATGTGCACTGTCTAAGCTGTTTTATAATATGAAGAGTTTAGCAGCTGCCAGGACCAAGTGGCCTATGAACTAAAAACATTACTACGTGGTCCTTTATGAGTAAGTTTGCACAGGTAAGCTTTCAAAATCTGGGGAACACTCCCTGCTGGTATAGTGGTTAGGATTCGGTGCTCTCGAAGTCTAGAGAAATAGTTCAAAGGGCCTATGCTGGAGGGCAATACCCTGAGCACCACCGTGTGTGCCTCCTCACCCCTCCATACCATAGTTTGTGGAGTATGGGGGACATGACTAAGCAGCAGAGAACATGATCACCAGACATGCAAATAGAAAAAAGGTTAGTTCACTAACTTAATTTAGAACTAGAACATCTGGAAACAGTCTTTAATCATTTACCTATAGAAACAGATTCCAAACGATCCACAGTAAACAGCCTGGGTAAGTTAAAACAAAATTGTTACTCACCGAGGTTGTCGATCTGAGCAATTCTCGCTCTTCTTTTAACTGTTCAACTAATTTCATCATTCCCTGGGCTTCCTCCACCTTCCCTTCAGATCCTAATTCTTCAATCTAAGGGGATTAAGGAAAAAAAGCAGTTAAGACCCCTTTTTAGGGACTGCACAGATAGTACAGAAGGAGGCTGCTTGCCTTGCATGTGCCCATCCCAGGTTTGGTCCCCAGCACCCAATAAGGCCCGGAGTTTGCCAAGAGCAATCCCAGAGCACAGAGCCAGGAATAAGTCCTGCCATCACAGGCTACAGACCAAAAACAAACAGAAAAGACAACTCCTTTCTCACAAAAATATATAAACATTCCCCTACAATTTCATTAATATTTATTTTCCATTTAATTTAATTAATTTGACAGAAATTATTCTCCTGAGATCCATCTCTATACCTATATGGTGAGAGCCTCACAAAAGGTAACTCTTTTAAACAACATTGTAAAAGCAAGCTCTTGCCCCCCCCCAAAGCTGCATTTCTATAAAGCATTAGTTCTATCTATTGCTAGAATTAGAGAAACTAATCTGAGGCATGGTTTTGTATGAAAATGTATAATTATCTGTATCAAGCAGCCATTAAGAACTGTTATTTTTAGTACATATGCAATTCACACACTTTTAATACATAAAGATGTGGTAGCATCCTTACTATTTTTTTTCTTCTTTTTTTAAATCTCCTTAGTCTTTCTTGCCTATATATTATTTCGGAGTAATAGTCTGGTACCAAAATTAGAGTAATAGTGTAATTTCTCAGGAACCTTTAAGAACCTTAATTTAAAAAAATAGAGCAATGAAAATACATACCATAACCGAATGTGATTTATTTTTAGAGAAAAATAACTGAAATGAGTCTTTCCCAATAAAGAAAATGAGACCATACCCTTGTTATGTTTTAACTGCCATATTCTGTACAATGTGTGCTCTTAATAGGCATTCCATAATATGAATGATCCTTTGAGATTCAAATGATCAAAACCAACTGCCAATGCTGTAAATTCATAAATGTTCAAATACCTCAAAATAACAAGAATTTAAAAACTGAAGCCACTGACGATGTTTTTCAACCTAAGTACAATGTATATAATACAGCAAATTAATTGACATTATTGCCATCAATAAAGTTAGGATTCTGACTGTAACACAAAAAATACAAAAAGTAATCTGTCTTGAAGTGAGATTAGTTTCTCCAATTTTAGCAATAGATGTAACTAATGCTTTTATAAAAATGCTGTTTTTCTTTGGTAATATGGTTGCCGGTGTTACATTAGTGAAGATACTTCCTACAAACACATGGGGACTCCAGAGACTACGACGAATCACTTTATAGCAGTCAAAACAATCAACAAAGAATCCTAAACGATGGTAGGTAGCATTCATCTGTTTCAAAAAGCGTTGACACCCAAAAAGGAGAGAGAGAACAGAGGGGAATGCCCAGCCACAGAGGCAGGGTGGGAGGGATACTGGGATCCGTGGTGGTGGGAAATGGGCACTGGTGGAGGGATGGGTATTCGAAATTTAAAAAAAAAAGCGTTGTTGTATAATATCCAAAGTATGTCACACCACATGATGAACCAGTTACGTCAGCCCAATCACCTTCATCTTGAAAAGCAGTGCAAACTTCTACCTTCTCACTGAGTCATATTAACAATAATTAAGAGTGATTAATATTAACAAGTTAGTATGTTAATATTATTAACGAGTGATTCAGAATCTCATCTCACAATTCTGGACATGTTTGGATTGCATACTCCACATATTGTGCCACCACAAACTTTCCACTGAAAAAGGTTCTGCTAGCCTGACTTTTCTTCTGTGATGAGGTATGACAAAACCTGTTTCCAGGAAGCTAAAATCTATGGTTCTATAGTTTCAACAGGCCAGACTATTCGAGAGCCTGTATCTGGGGGAGTGGCCACATGAGAATCAGCAGAATCCGAAGATCTGGCAGCTGAAAAGGTTTTCAAACTGACACTTTTAATTTAAGAGCAAAATCCTGACATAAGAAACCAGTCTGGATACAGAGCACATTGGCCATCTCTGACAAAGGTGGATGCAATTAGCGTTCTTGGGGTAGATAACTCAGTGACCATGGCCACCTCCTGCACTCACAGCCAGACTTTTTCTGTCGTCAAAAATCTTATTAGCTGTATCTGGGTTTTTTGCTCTTAATTGAAGCCACTTTGGGCTTAATTTACCTATATCATTATTTTACAACTTATTATTGAGATATACCTGACAACACCAATTTTTGGACCATACCCAATGATACTCAGGACTACTCCTGGCTCTGTGCTCAGATGACCATGTGGTACCAGATCAAACACAAGTCTCATATGAGATTTATCTTTTAAATGATATCTCTGAACAAAAGGGAATGCCCTGCCACAGAGGCAGGGTGGGATGGGGAGGATGGGAGGGTGAGAGGGATACTGGGATCATTGGTGGTGGAGAATGGGCACTGATGAAGAGATGGGTACTCAATCACTGTATAACTGAAACCCAAGCATAAAAATTTGAAAATCTACAACTGTACCTCATGATGTTTCACTAATAAAAATTTAAAAAATCCCTGAACCCCAAAGCTGCAAAACTTGCACACACACACACACACACACACACACATATACACACTTTTTCCCATAATATAATCTTTATCCTGGGGCTGATGAGATAGTACAGCCGGCAGGGCGTATGTGACCCACTGAGGTTTGATCTGCAGCACCCCATATGGTCCCAAACCCCTATCAAGAGGGATCCCTAATAATAATTTTCCACAACAGATACTATGATCTTCCCCTCCTCGTTTTATAGTTTAAAAAATTTACAATAGTATTGATGTTTATACTGATGTGAAAAATTAGGGGCCAGAGCAATATAGTACAGAGGCTAGGGAATTTGACTTGCATGCAGCTGACCTAGGTTTGATCCCTAGCACCCCAAAAGGTTGCCAGAACACTGCCAGGAGTAATTCCTGAGTATAGATCCAGGTGTAACCCGAGCATCACCAAAACAAAAACAGCTACTACATGAAAACCACCACCACCAAACTCCAAGTCACCCCTAATTTGCATTTTTATTTCCCCTAGCCCTCCCCGCCTCACTGTATGGCGATCTAAATTCTGTAATCCAAGCATGTCCAATAGCTTACAGTTTCAAAGACATTATTGAACAATACAAACACTGTACTGATGGCATTGTTCAATACTATCCTTATAACTCAATTTTTTGTTTTGAGTTTTTGGGCCATACCCAAAAAGTGCTAAGGGATCAATCACTCTTGGCAGGGCTCAGGGACCAGATACAGTATCTGGGACTGAGCTGGGATTGGGTGCAAACAAGACAAGTGCTTAAATCCCTGTACAAGCTCTCCAGTAAGAATCTGCAGTAAGAATCTGCAGTATCTTTTAAGTCTGACACCCATGAAACCAATCTCATCTAGAAGCTGAACACATCTATCACCCCCAAAAAAGCTTTATGCCTTTTATTAACTCCTCCTCAAGCAATTATCTCCATTTTGTCACTAAGATTACTTTGTACTTGTAGAATTTCATATCAATGGAACTATATATTTTCTATCTCTATTTCTGGCTGGCTTCTTTCACCAGTCCAATGATTTAAAGATCAATTTATATACTGCTACATGTAGTTAATGGCTTTTTCTTAAAAACCGATTCTACAGTCATTATTACTTGCGCATCTAATCCATTCTATGTACAATTGAAGTGTTTCTGTTTTAGGGGGTTGTTTATTAGGACTACAGTTGCTATGAACACTGGTACACAATTCTGTGTCTTTGTTTATCCTAGTAAATCAGTAGGAGTGGGATGATTCGTGAATTTTTTTTTCTTTTTTGCGGGGGGGGGGGTTTCCTGGGGATAGATCCTAAGGCTTTACACATTTGAGAGTGAGAAATGTGTGCTGCAAATGAGCAATGGAAAATAAATGATCTAGCATCTGCCCCTGCCCCTGGAAGGCAGGCTTGAATGGTGGTGGGAAAATTTGAGCAAAATATAATGCCCAAAAGGAGAGAGCGTATCTGAGAAATTGTCTGCCATAGAGGTAGGGTGAGGACTGGGATGGAGATGGGAGGGAAACAGAGGGATTGATGATGGGGACATTGGTGGTGAAACTTTGGACTGGAGAAGGGATGGGTGTTCAATCATTGCATGGCTGAATCTCAAACACGAAAGCTTTGTAACTGTATCTCATAATGGTTCAATTAAAAAAAAATGATCACACCATTTTACATCCAAGTGGCAGTGTTTAATGCCTAGTTTTCCCCATCTTCACCATCATTAGGTATGGAGGCTACAGAGTTAGCTCTGAGTACATGCGTTACAGGTTCGATACCCAGCACATGGTCACGCACACACATGCGCGCACACACACCCTTCTGTAGCTATAAAATATATTCCCTGATGACACGGTAGTAACCCAGGTTTGATACCCAGCACATGGCGCGCGCACGCACACACACACACACACACACAAACACAAACACCCCCTTCTGTAGCTATAAAATATATTCCCTAATGACACGGTAGTAACCCTGACTTCTTCAAGCACCTATTCCAGGTATTTTCTGACATTAATATAATAATTCTCACCTGCTGTAGGAGTACATCAATTTTGTCTGTGAGAACTTGAATTTTTTCTTCATTTTTGCCTGTTGGGCCAGCTGCCTGTTGAATATAATATGCCAAAAAGTTACACACATATACATATATATATTTTTTAAAAGTCAAGTTACCACCAACATCAATTTACCTAAAATGAAACATAACAATTAGTGATTCAAATATTTTCATTTTCAGGGCTAGAGTGATAGCACAGCGGGCAGGGTGTCTGCCTTGCACACAGCCAACCCAGCTTCAATTCACAGCATCCCATATGGTCCCCTGAGCACTGCCAGGAGTGATTCCTTGAGTACAGAAATAGAAGTAACCCCTGGGCATCGCCGGTTGTGACCGCCCCCCCCAAAAAACACTTCATTTTCAGTCAGTTATTGATAGTTAAGAGAAAAATCTTATAATCAGAAATATCAATGTTACAATGTTATTGGCTATCCTGGCAAGCTATGTGATGTATGCAGTATGCCAGAAACAGTAACAAGTCTCACAATTTGTTGTGACATGTTACTGGTACCCACACAACCGGAGGACAGTGCTATCAATGTTACATTTACCAAAGACTGAAAAAGATTTCCCACATCCCTACAAACACAAACAAGAACATGGACACAAACCCACTATCAAGTAGTCCTGGCTTCCAGAGAACAAGATTATTTTACAAATAAGAATTTATATTCATATTTCAAAATTCAGATTTCATACTCACTCCAGAAGACTGCTGGTTTTGAGATAATGCCAAACGAGCATGGCCTCGTCTAATTCTACGTTCTACTTCTGCAAGTAAGCTCTGCAAGTATCGCAGAAAATCTCTTTCATATCCAACTTTCATGAAGCGAGAACTCTTCTCATACCTAATACACATGAAAATAAACAAGCATTACTTCCTTTAATTTTTTTTCCTTTTTAAAATATTTTTATTTTTATCCATTACAACTCACACATTCCTAGGGCTGAGAGGGGGGAAGGCTCAGACAGACAGAGTACAGTATATTATTAGGAATAAGTGTTTTATATTCAGCACAAATCCCCGGTGGATGGAGCAATAGTACAGTGTGATCCACCAGGAGTAAGGCCTAAGCACCACCTGGTATGGCCCCAAACCAAAACCCAGGGGCTTAAACATTATCTTTACAGTCTTTAGACTGTGACAATGAATAGAAGATGCCCATCTATAGAATCAGAACTGTTAAAATGCAAATCATGGGAGGCCAGAGATATCTATCAGCTAGGACACCTGCCTTTTCATGCAGTCAACCAGGGTCTGATCCTTGACATCCCATATGGTCACCTGAGCTAGCCACAAGTCCACAAGTGATCCCTGAGAGAAGAGCCAGGAGCAAGCTCTAAAAACCCCTGGGTGTGATCCCCAAACAAAAAATAGCAAATGTGGGCTGAGATACAGCACAAGTGGTAGAGAACATGCCTAGTGTGTTCAAAGTCCTAGTTCAATTCCCTGTACTGCAGGGCCAGAGCTGGGTATAGCCTCTATTTAGAAGAGCAAAAAGGGAGAAAGAACTGCAACAATAGTAGAGCAAGTAGGGTGCTTGCCTTGCATGTGCCAGAACCACATTAGATCCCCTATACCCACGAGGAGTAATGCCTGAGCGCAGAGCCAAGGAATAAACCTTGAGCACTGCCAGCTGTGGTCAAAAAAAACAAATATTAAAAAAAAATTTATATTTTATGCTTGGCGTATATAATATGCACTCATACAGTATCATTACTGGAGGTAACTTTCTACCACCCAATTAGTGAATAGGGAACTTACAGTAGACATTTAAATTACATTACCTACAATTATTTCTTCAACCTTGTTCCCTTAAAACCTAATAATGACTAATGAGAGAAAATAGCCCACAAAAGAGCAACTTACTGTTTTCGTAAATTTTCGTCATGAATTTTTTCACATGGACCTGAAAAAAATTTAAGTGAAAAATGTGAACATAAAGATTAGTGGCAATAAACTTTTATTTTGCAAAACCAAACTCCTTTAAACAAAAAAAAAAGGGGAAAAAGAACTATTTTGCCAGTGAGCAGTCTGTAGACAACCTATATTGATCCTACTGAACCATAAAGCAAAATGCTCAACCAAACAAGTGTATAAAAATGTTGTGTTCTAAATCGGTATGATGAAATCATCTAATAGAAAAAACTAAGAAAAAAGTTGCAGGAACAAGAGAAAATTGTTCCTCATTACCACCCAAAGAAAAACCAAACAAGCAAAAAGAAAAACACCACTGCAACTGGTCTGAACCACCAGGGATGAATGTCTTTCAAATTCCTGTTTATGAAGCCAAACAAGTATTAACACATTAGTCTATTCCAACCCATCTCTGAAAGACAATGTTGTATCACTGGAGTTGACCTTTGGCATTTCTAAATTCTGAACTTAATTTTTTTCCTTGATTCGAGGCATCAAAATTTAGGTTAAATAAATTGTTTATATTTTGACAATGCAAGTATTTATTAACTACTGAACCAAACAAAAGGTGCACTTAGCAACACTTTTGAACACACTTCTTGTAATGTTTTCACTTGTTTAATAGTCTATGAACCAATTTCTTCATAAACATTAACTGGACTAGGGAAACTATCAATACTAATTTTTCTCAAGATTCAGCTTCATTTCTTGTAGGAGCCTCCTGTTCCGCTTCAATCTAGGCTGCCTGTTTTATAAGCTCACTAAATTAAGTTGTCATCCTGAGAAATTCCTTCTCTGGTCTGATTGGGTGTTGGATTCTTTTGTTTTCTTCATTCTTGGTTTATGCCCAGGTGTTGGAGTTTCCAGAGAAAGGTTCAAGAGAGGAAACTTGCTGAAAACTTGCATGCCTGAAAAAGTTTTTCTCAAACCCTCATAACTTTGATATTTGGTTAGTCTAGGTTAAGATATTTTTGCTCAGTATTGTGAAGGTGTATCTCCAATGTCTTCAAGCTTCCAGTCCTGTCCTTAACCAGAACGGAACATTGTGATTCCTGAAGCTATGTGCCCACCCCAATGCCCAGTATATGCTGAAATTTTACAAAAGTATCAGCTGGCATGGATCTTTCACAGAATTACCCACTGACTCTAGAAACCATTTCCTTAAGTACATCATAATTTGTTTTGTCAATTTCCTGCTTTCTCTATCTCAAACTTTTAACTAACTACTGACCGACAGAAAACATCTTCAATTTTTTTCTCTTTTTTTTTTGGGGGGGGGTGTGTTAAAGAGATAGCTCAGAGGACTAGAGCACAAGTCTTATATAATAAGGTCCCAAATTAAGTCCATGGCATCAGTGGGCCCCTGTGCACCACCAGGAAAGTCCTAGTGATCTCTAGAACTATGAGGCCAAGTACTGATACCTCGGGCCCACACACCCAAATAGCACTGTCCAAAATTATCTGTCCAACAAATTTCTTTTTTGGGGGATAGTTTTTATTTCAAAATTCTCCAGCTCTGAATTCCAAGAGCTCTTTTTATTTTTTAAAAGTCCCCCTATTTTTCTATAGTATCCTATTGCTGGTATCTTATTTCTCTGAGAATTCTTAACTAAAACTTTTGCTTTTCCCATAATGGGGGGTAGGGGGGAGGAGGAGGGAAGAGTAGGGACCACACCTGGCAGTCCTCAGGGCTTACTAAACCTGGTTCTGAGCTCAGAGATCCCTCTTGGCAGGGCTTGAGGGTGCATATAGGTGCAGGGGATCAAACCCAATCAGCCATGCAATGCCAGGGCCCTATCTGCTGTACTATCTTTCCGGTCCCACTTCTTCATTCCTAATTCCACTGAATTTCCTTTCCCCGCCCCCTCTTGGTTTAGGTCAATCTTTCATGTCAAAAGTTTTCTTCAAATATCTAGCTGGCAAAACATTTCTAACTCTGACTAGAAATGTATAGGAAGGGTTTGTTAACTAATGGGGTTTACCAGAGGAAAATCAGTTAATTCTTTTAGGAGATTCCCCAAGGATCAGTACCTGTAGATCACTTCTCTGGAACTGCTCACTTTTTCTAAAGAATCCTCTTCTCTTCTGCCTGGGGAAAAACATCTGGCTGTATCCTTCTAGGAACAGGGCAGAGGAAGGGAATGGGAAAACCCCACTATATTAAGAATACAGACTTGTTTCAACTCTTTTACAGTCTCATTTCTACTCATTACTGCCCTGTGCTGTGTCTGGAATCCCAACAACTATATTTGCCCAGCCCTAATGTAATCCTAATAGCCTTTACAATTAATGAAGTTTGTCTTTTATGATTCTAGAATGACAGGAATCATTCTTGGAAAAGAAAGAGTTGCAAGAAAAAAAAATTTCTCTGCATGTTGTGGTTCCTCCAGGAAACATCCTGGTCTCATTACAGGTATAGGAGAGGCAGAATCAGATACACAGACCTAGACTACTGCTTCTCAAGGGGAACAATTTTCCCCCAAAAGAACATTTGATAATTCCTAGAGAAACTTCTCTGGGGGTGGGGTAGGAGTGGAATATGCAACTGGCATCAAGTGGGTAGAGGTCATGGACACTAAATATCCTATCACACACAAGATATCCCTCCCTCCCAAAATACAAAATTATTCACTTAAAATGTTAAGAGCACCAGACTGAGAAACCCCAAACTAAATGCACGTCTCATTTTCAGCTCCGTGACTCAACTCTGCCTTCTATGGTGCCTGATGCCTCCAAACCTGCACTTGTCCAGGCTCTGCTGACCAAGTACTCGCTGCTGTCAACTACCTCCTTCTGCCGATTTTAGGTTACAAATTCCTCTGCTCTGTTGAATTTGCTGCTGCTCTTCCATCCACTTGTCATCTTCAAAAATTCTGTTGAAATCTCTAATGTAATCTCCTCTTCCAACTTAATACTTTTCTTGTTTTTAACGTTCATTTTAGTGAGGAAAATTTGGAAGGGAGTGGAAGTAGATGTATGTTTATTTAAACCATTATGTTTAACTAGACTATCAGTTAATACATTCAAAAATCAAAAACAAGAAAAAACCTATAATAAAACATTTAAGAAAAAGTTTTTCAGATTTATGAAAGTTTTTAAGTCATGAATTTGACTTTATAAATCACACAGAAAACTTACTTACCAAGATCAGACCGTGTATTTGTGAACAATTCCGCAGGGCAAAACCCACAGAGGTAATATTTACAAACCTAGTAAAGAAAAACATACTTGTAAAGATTGTTTAGTTTTAAAATTGTATGAAAGGGGAGGTCAAATAACTTATTTTCAACTTTTTTTTTTGGGGGGGGAAGTGTGGGGAGATCACACCTGGTGGTACTCAGGGCTTAATCCTGGCTCCGAACTCAGGGGACCTACTAGTGGGTCTACCTCATGCCAAGCATTCCCTTATTCACTGTACTACCTCTCTGGCACCCTAATTTTGTGATTTTTATCTTTAACCAAGTAAACAGAAGAATTTCATTTGTTAAACCTTATCAATTCAGTAAAGACTTTTAAAATCCTGGATTAGTAACAGACTACTTTCCTTCTGTTTAGGGGCCACACACTCAAGGCTTAATTCCTGGATCTGTGCTTAGGATCACTCCAAGCAAGGCTCAAAGTTACGGGGATCTGAGAGGGCCCCATGCCAGGCAAGCACCCTCCATGCTGTATTACTGCCCAGCCCCAAGAACACCTGTTTTAGTTTTGGGGTGACACCCAGTGAAGCTCAGGGTATGCCTGGCTCTGTACTTAGGAATTACTTCTGGCAGTACTCAGGGGACCATCTGGGATGCGGGGGATGGAACATGGGTCAATCGCATGCAAGACGAATACCCTACCCACTGTACTATCCCTTCAGCACCGCCCCTATTTTTAATCACTACCACCCACCCTATGCAGAAGCACTAACACATGAAACAAACTCAGAATAATAAAAATACGTTATTTTTACTTTAACAACAACCACCACCACACTATAGTGTATTGTTCTCATTGCCCTATCTTTATTAAAAAGCAAAACCAAATTACAGGTTAACATTTGGGAATCGTATTAGAGGGATAATACAGCAGGTAGAACCAACCCAAATCTGAGCTAGCGTACAGATTAAGGTGATTTCCCTTCTCGTGGCTGTTCAGATCCCTGGCACCGCATATGCACTGCCTGTGGTTCCCTGGACACTACCAGGAGTGAATCCAGGGCAGAGAGTCGAGTCAGGAGTGGTGCCTGTGCAGCCAGGTGTGTCTTCAGTCCCACCTCCAGGGGAAAACAATGCAAAACTCCAAATGATTGCGGAGGCAATTTAATGCTCCTACCAAAATACAGTACTTCTCTAATTTCGCCTGCATCTTTCTAAAAATCAATCCAACAAAGTGACTCAGTTATATGAAACAGAATGTTTACTATAGCATTGTTGCTACTAAGGGTACACTAAAAAACTAAAGCTAAGTGTATAAATGTACCAAGAAACAATAAAAGTAGGAACAGGAAGACTTTACATTAGTAAGTGAACATATATATTGGTAGCACTGTCCTCCAGTTGTCCATCGATTTGCTTAAGCGGGCACCAGTGACACTTGTTACTGTTTTGGGCATATCGAATACGCTATTGGGAGCTTGCCAGGTTCTGCCATGCGGGCAGGATATTCTTGGTAGCTGGTCGAGCTCTCCGAGAGGGGCAGAGGAATCGAACCCAGGTTGACCGCATGCAATGCAAATGCCCTACCAGCTGTGCTATAGCTATAGCTCTGCTATTGCAGGTCCGCGGGACCTAATGGATATATATTGGTATGTCTATCAATTTTCACTATGGCACACTCAAGTTTAATGTTTCTCGAACTGATCTGGAAACATGACTTTTCAATTCTGGGTGGAGCGATGTGTTACACCAGGCTGTGTTCCAAAGCTACTCCAACTGTGTGCTCAGGTACATGGCCCCAATTTTCAGTGCTTAGGGTACCATGTAGTGCTGGGAATTAAACTACAGTCCAGCTACTTATAAGATAAATGAGTTCCCTCTACTATTTCTCTGGCCTCTGGTTACTACTGTAAAACATAACTTATGATTTATATATGTAATGATCAGAGGAAAATATGTGGTGCGGGATAACACACCAGGGTTGGCCACAGGCAAGGAAAACGCCTAAACCCCTGAATTATCCATCTGAATAATCCCTGAACTTTTCCTTTTTTGGTGGAGAGAACACAGCTAGCAGTGCTCAGGACTTAGTCCTGGCAGGAACAAGAGACCACATGGGGTACTGGGGATCGAACCTGAGTCAACTGTGTGCAAGGCAAGCACTCTTCCTGCTGTACTCTCTAGCCCCTAAACATTTTTGAAGTGGAACACACTGGGAAGTTCAGGGGACCGGCCGTGTAGTGCTGGGGATGGAAGCCAGGGTTCCTACATGTGAGGCCTATGTTTCAGTCCTTTGAACTATCTCCCAAGCACAAGGCTTTGTCCGTGTTTACTCCACGTCTGTCAAGAAGGTACTCTGCCATGTAACAAGATCCCAAACCTCTAAAAAGTAATTTTCATGGCAGTGCCAGAGAGATAGTATAGCAGATAAGGTATCTGCCTTGCATGTAAGTCTATTCAGGTTTGCTCCTTGGGACCCCCTGTGGTCCCCTGAGCATCACCACGAATGAACTAGTAAGTTTTTCCTCAGTGCTATTTGGATTGTTTTTGTTCAAGTACTTTCAATGAATCAGTTGTATGACTAGCTGTTTCTTGTCCTCATGGTCAGCTCTATTTATTTACAAACTATAAAGCCTTCACATCATTAAACCACATATAAACTTCTCTACAAACACTCTAAACACAGGTGACCAGCTAAAATATTGTGTGCAAAGCTGAAGGATTTTTTGGTAACCTAACAACGTTGGAGAGATAACTTGTTTTCACAGATACCAAGTTCCATTTTATATGTCACAAAGATAACATTTATTAAGGCCAGAAAGAAAATACAGGCATTAAGGTACTTTCCTTCTATGTGACCACTCCCAATTTGATCCCCAACACCGCGTGGTTCTCTGACCAAAGAAATGAAATAAGTCCTGAACATTGCAAGGCATTACTAGTCCCTCCCCCCTCCAAGATAATATTTATTAAATCCTACTTCTGGGGCTAAAGACAGTACAGCAGGTAAGGGTCTTGCCTTGAATGCAGCAGACCCAGATTTGATCCCTGGCATCCCATATGGTCCCCAGAGCCTACAGCAAGGGTTAAGCCCATGTACAGCCAAGTATGGCCCCCAAATCCAAAAAATAAACCAACCCTACTTCTGCTAATCTAAAACACTGGCCATTTTTTATTCATAAGGAGGGAAACAGTCAATATATCTGATGAGATCTTACCCGAACTGTCAATAAACAATGTTAAAAATAAAGGGGGCCAGAGCGATAGTACTGCGAGCTGGGCATTTGCCTTGCATGCGGCCAACCCAGGTTCAATCCCCGGCAGCCCACCTGGTTCCCCAAGCACCATCAGGAGTAATTTCTGAGTGAAGAGCCAGAAAAAAAAAAAAACTGAGCATTGCCAGGTGTGTTCCAAACAGCAAAATAATTAAATAAGGAACACCAGGAAATGTTACTGATGAGAGATAGCTCAGTAGGTTCAGTGCACGCTTTGCATGTGAAAGGTATACCAAAGTTCCCCCAAGCACTTTAAGTGTAACCCAACCAGCCTCCAGCCCACCCTGGGCCAAAATAAAAAAAAAAACACAAGCTGGAAGACTTAAAAGGCACCAGCTTTGCAAGGTTAGTCACAAGTCCAAATCCCTGGTGTTTCACACGATTTGTACAAGTACTAGTCACAAAAGGATGGGACCCCTGGCAAACATCACAACTAATATGTGAGCACTACCGTCAGGAAGTGCAAGAGAACTGCAGGAATCCCCAGCAAACACCTTTTATGCCTCAACTAGGAGTGAACCCCTCAAGCATAACAAACTTCAGCAAGTACTAAGACAGTATGCAACTCACCCCCATCACTGTAACACCAGCAATGAGTGGGATGGGGAGAGACAAAATATATAAAATTAGGAGTCGAAGAGTACAGTAGATCTGGAGCTTGCCTTTGCATGCGGCTGACCCAGGCTCAATTCCTCACACTATGTATGGTCCAAGCTCCACCAGCAGCTCAGAGCCACGAGTAAGCCTTGAGCGTCTCCCAAAAAACAAATATAAATACATACACACACTTAGTTTTTAATGGGAAGGACAACCCCCCCACACACTCACACAAAAGAAAGCACAAACAGAGGCCCTGTGTTTGGTCCCTGGCACTGGTCCCCCATCCACAGTAACAGCAAAAGCAGAATTTGTAACCAAAACCTGACATCTTCATGTTTTACCTGTACTAGACCCCGCTTTATAGTTATCCCTTTCCACATGTTTTTGTCTTTTAGGTCACACCTGGTACACAGGGTTGCGCCTGGGATCAGCCATGTATAAGGTAAATGATTATCTCTCTACTCTCCATGCCTTTTATTACACAGACCTTGCAGCCAAATGCATCCTTTTCACTGCCTGCAAAGTTTTGCTAAATGTTAATCAATTTTCCAGAGCAGTCAGATAATAAGTATCTTCAAGTCTTCAAATGTTTCCCAATGTAACTGTTTCCAACTTTTCACAAGGCCTACTAAAAGCATTTAAAAATAAATCCCTAGGTCAGAGAGATAGCTCAAATGGATGAGTAGCACATCCAGGCCCTGGCACTGATGGAACTCCCACTCCCTCCCACCACCATCCCAAGAGTAGCTACTTTTATTTTTAAAAAGGATCAGGTAAGGGGCCTGCCTTGTATGCAGCTGACCCAGGTTCAATCTCATAGCATACTGTCCCCAGAGCACTATCAGGAGTGATTCCTGAGTGGGAACCAGGAAGAAGCCCTGAGCAGGATGTGGCCCAACACACACACACACACACACACACACACACACACACACACCCTTGGACACAGCCAATCCAGGTAACAATCTAACACCACATATGATCATTGCTGTTGTCCTCTCTCCCCACACCCCAAGCAACTTCAGGAGTGATTCCCTGATCATAACCAAAAGCAAGCCATGAAAACAGCAGAGAATGGGCCCAAAACAACAACAACAAAAAAAAAAAAATAAAAAATATAGACTACTTCACTCATGATCCTTGTCCCCCAATGGAAACAGGCTATGGTTTCACCAGTCCCTCTGACTGTCCTTTGCTCCAGTACCTGAGACAGTGATGATGGGTTTTGAGAGGCCTCTCCCAAGCACCTCAATCTGGGTTAGGTAGGTGTCCTCCTTTTTACCTTTTTGGCAATAGAGCCAATCTGCAACTTGGGTACTTTTGCCAGCCCTAAGTGTTTTTTAGAGACTCACTATTTTATCCCACTATTAAAAAAAAAAAAAGGTACATTTTGCGTTTCTTCCTTGACTGATACCAGACTGATGGTATTCCTCTTAGCTAAATGGCATATGTGTACATTACTCACTGTATATGTATACATTGACCATTAAGACCAATACTTTTTTCCTAAATACAGAATCCCACCTTATTTGTAAGAAATGGTGAGGAAAGTAAGTTTCATAAATCAACAAGCACAATAGTACTAACTTAAGGTACTTTCTTCCCTTGTGAGAAGTCTAAAATATCAAACATTTTTACCTAAAAGTAACAATAATTAAAAAGAAGTAACTTTTAGTATTTTCAGTGATGATAATACTAACAACCTGAAGGTCTTAGTAAAAATAAACTCAGCTTCCCTCACAAATCACTGAAAAGAAAGCATGCTTGGGGGGGGGGCCACAGTGATAGTACAGAAGGGCATTTGCCTTGCATGTGGCAAACTCTCTGGCACCCCATTTGCCCTTCCTCCTCATCCCCACCTGGAACCTGCCAGGAGTGAGTTATCTCAGAGCAGAGCCAGGAGTAAGACCTGAGCACTGTGACTGGGTGTGACCCAAAACCAAAATTTTAAGATATTACAATCAAGAGATATTTGGCAAGGGCCAGAGAAATACTACAAGCAGTTAGGGCACTTGCTATGGTGTCTGTCTTGCATGTGGCCAACCCGGGACCAATCTCTGGCACATATGGTCCCCCAGCACCATCAAGAGTGATTAATCCCTGAGCACAGAGCCAGGAGTAAATCCTGAGAACTGCCGGATGTGGCCCAAAACTGAATGGTAAAAATGAAGGCGTTAGGGGCCAGGGCAATAGTATGGTGGACAGGGCACTTGCCTTGCACGTGGCTGACCCAGATTCAATCGCATCATGGTCCCCAAAACTGCCTGCCAGGAGTGATGACTGAGTGCAGAGCCAAGAAGTAAGCCCTGAGAATCACTGGGAAGAATTATTTTGCAGGGGCTGGAGCAGTGTACAACGGATAGGGTGTTTGCCTTGCACTTGACTGACCCAGGTTTGATTCCCAACATCCCATATGGTTCCCCCAAGCACCACCAGGAGTAATTCCTGAGCGCAAAGCCAGGAGTAATCATTGTGCATCACTGGGTGTGACCCAAAAAGGAAAAAAAAAAGAATTATTTTGCAAATCCTCACAATGTTAACTATTCAGGTGAAAAAGTAGAAGCTACTAATGCTACCTCTGCCACTGAAATCTCATGCTGATACTAAAAAATTCACAAGAGTTTAGGATTATGTTTTGTTGGGGCTGGAGCAATAGTACAGCATGTAGGGTGCTTGTCTTGCACGTGGCCAACCTTCAGCATCCCATAGGGTCCCCTGATCACCACTAGGAGTGATCCCTGAGCGCCTCTGGGTTGTGGCCCCCAAACAGAAAGTTTTGTTGCTTGTAATTATTTAGGATTAACAAAACAAAGCAAATGAACCGCTTAATGTTAAAATACCAAGAATCTCAAGGAACTGTAAAATATTAAGGGGAGGCCTATGAATCCTTGGAATTATATTTCAATGAAAAGCTTTTCTTCTCAGGTCCAGACCTAGCAGCCTACAAAGAAGAACCGCCTTGAAGTAACACCCCAGAAAAAGAACTTTTATGATTCCACCTTGATAGCAGTTGTGGATGCATCTTTACAGGTTTACTGTGAGCAAGACAACACCTTCTCACTTAAAACCAACTTTCCCATGTACTACTACTTCTCAATTAAAAACTCTGAACTGGAGCTGGAGAGATAGCGCAGCCGGTAGGGCGCTTGCGGCCGACCCAGGTTCGATTCCCGGCATCCCATATGGTCCCGAGTACTGCAAGGGGTAACTCCTGAGTGCAGAGCCAGGAGTAACCCCTGTGCATCGCCGGGTGTGACCCAAAAAGCAAAAAATAAATAAATAAATAAACCTCTGAACTAATCAGGAAGGTTAGGAAGCAACAGGAATCAGCAGCTTAAATGTTGAAAAGATCCTTTAAAAACTATTTCTGGGCTGGGGAACAGTTCAGAGACTGATGGGCATGCTTTACAGCAGAAGGCCCAAGTTTCATCTAAGGCACTACATGGTCCCCCAAGGAGTTCTCCCTGAGCACCACCGAGTGCCCCCTAAAGCAACTTGAGGCCAACCCTCATCCCCAAGAACTACAGAATTGGAATCACAGAGTAATTAAGAAATTTGCATTTTAAAGCAAATTCCACAGGTCAGCCAACAGATAGTGAAGATATCTAGAAACTACTTTTAACTCATGTTGTTTCTATTTTATTTGTTTAAAAAAGAACTCAACCAAAGGGAAGAGCATTTTCAACCTAACAAAAGGGTGGCAACAAAAATTGCTGCAGGGACTGGAGACAGTACATTGCCAGCACAAGGCCAACCCCACCAGGTTGGATCCCCAGCATCCCAGATGGTCTCCCAAGTACTGACATGAGCAATTCCCAAGCAGAGAGCCAGAAGCAACTTCTGAGCATTGCTGAGTACGCCACCTAACTCCCCAAAAAGAAAATCTTGTAGACAGAAGAGGAATGCAGAGCCACTGAGATAGTACAATAGGGCGCAAGCTAAACATTCGACCTGGGTTTAGTCCCAGACACCACAAGGTTCCCCAAGCCTCACTGGGTGCGGCTCTGGAGGCCCCCTGCATCCTTGGGGTGCCCCTGGTATCCCCAGCACTGCATCCTCAGATCATGCACTGAACCAAGAGACTGCTTGGTCAAGAAGCACTGGTGTGTCCTTCAGGACTCCTAAACACCGCTTGGTAGCCCTCCCACCAAATGAATAAAAATGCAAAAATATTTCTGATATATCAAGTTGGAGAGACGTGGAACCCTTATGAAACATGCAGGGCTCACCCATTACTCCAGAATCTTAGCAACAACAGCCAAGAGCTTAAGAACCTGAGGATGAGCTTTTCGAAACTAAGTCACACTGTCTTAGAAGATGACTAGTGCTTTGTGAACAAATCTAAAATGCCAGTAACTGACTTTTTCGAATCACTCAATCTACAATGAAAAGGAATCAGTCATTAAAGGCACGAAGTGTTCTGTATTTAAGCACTGGAAATTTCAATCAGTGGGAAGCACTAACCAGAAAGGAAAGTAGATTTATTAACGACTGACAACATAAAACCAAACTTACTTTTTCTAAAAGCTTCACCCTCGAATATAATACAATGTGGAAACAAAACATCAGGGAAACAAGATCTCTTCACACATGTTCAAAACCAAGGAGTCACTAACAAAGGTTTGTCCATGCTTAAGAGCAGGCAATCAAAAGGAACGTTCTGATTCAAATAGTGTCCTATCGGCACTCCCTTCAAGTTAAAGTTCTTTTCCCACAGTTTAGATGGGAAGTCTGCTAAGACACTGCACTGTGACAAATGCCTAGGAAGGAAAGAGGACCAAAACGGACGTCCCTTACTTTGACAAGTAAGGGGAGAAGTTCACCCACTCCCACCCCGGGAAAAAAATGAGAGGAGGTTTGGGCCACACCCGGTGGTGCTCAGGGCTTACTCCTGGTTCTGCACTCAGGGATCACTCCGAATTCGTCGGGAGACCAACTGGGGGTGCCTGGGATCGATGGAGGGCAAAGCAAGCGCCTCCGGACACTGTCCCCCCCCCCCTCATTCTCTCTCTCTCCACCGCCCTCCAAAATATTTTAAATTTCCCTTTCCTGAACCCCAAGACCCGTGTGCAAACTTAATTCCCACTTCACTCCAGGAATCCTACCTACCCCAGACTACAAAAAATCAAGCAGCATCCAAAGCTGATTGGCTGGGTTTTTTTTTTCGAATAGCAGCAAATGATTTTATTCCCCTGTATTGCAAAAAAAAAAAAGAGAGAGAGAGAGAAACAACTCTAACCATGCTTAGGGAGAATAAGCAACTCAATTTTAAAAATTAAAAATAAAAAAAAGCATCGTTTAACCGTCCAGTTCTTTGAGCCGCACTATCAGCGTGAAGTCACCACGCCGCCTGCTCTGCAGGGCGAGGCCAGGGGAACCGGGCAACGCGGGCGTCGGCGGGGAAAGGGGGGGGGGGTTGGCACCGCCTTACCCAACTTCACTTTCGGGGAACCCCCTGGGTGGGAGGCCCCGGGGCGACATTCGCCCCCTCCCGGTCCGGGGCCTCCGGGGGGCGGAGGAGGGGGAGGGCTCGGCCGGGAAGCCCTCCGCCCGGTTCTCCCCCCGGGTCTCCGGAGGGTCTGGGCGCGGGGTCGCCGGCCGCCCCGGGCACGCACGGCCGCGCTCCTGGCCGCCCCAGCCCCGGCCCGAACCCGGGGCCCGCCCCGCCCCTCCAAAAGGAAAACAAGCCGACGGCACCAACGCCGCCGCGCCCCGAATAACGGAAGAGGGTGCCCTCTCTCTCGCCCCGCTCCCCCGCGGTGGCGGGAACTCGGGGCGCCGCGGGTCGGGTCGGGTCGGGTCGGGTCGGGCCGCCCGCCGCGGCCCGCGACCCCAGCCCGGCGCCCGCCGCCGCGCCGCCGCCCCTCCCCCACGGCGCCGGGCTCCGGCAGGCCCGAGGCCCGCGGGACTTACGCTCTCGTGGTCCCACCGCACGTTGCTGCGCTTCTCGTCCGGGGCGAGGTTTCGGTCCCGGCCCATCAACTCATCCAACAACTGCGCGGCCGAAATCATGGTGCTGCCTTCGGGCGGCTGCTCCCACCAGCCCTGGCACCAGCCCGAAAAATCGCCGGCGACAGCGCCGCCAACCCCCCTCGGAGCCCCTTAGCAAGGCCGGAGAGCCGCCTCTCCAGAGGAGCCGAGAAGACAAAATGGCCGCCGCGCGGCCGCCTTCCCAGCATGCCGCGCGCGCGCCTGCGTGCCGGCGGGCGTGAGAGCGTGCCTGAGTGCGTGCGTGCGTGCGTGCGTGCGAGCGCCCGCGGGGGGCCACGCCCAGGTCTGAAAGGCGAGCGCCGGCTCGCCGGCGCCGCCGATGGGGGGCGGGGCCTGCCGCGGACGCAGCCCAGACTCCGCCCCCAGGGCTTTGTGTGGCTCCGCCCTCCCACCTCTCGGAGAGCGCGCTCGGCCCTACCCCGGCCCCGGCTCCTTACACCTGCTGGTCCCCTCCACGCTCGGGGCTTCTTTCCTGAGCCCTTTTCACAGCGAGCGCTAGGAGCCTCGGTCTGCAGACTTCGACGGGTCTCCGCGGTGGAGACGAGGGCAGTGCCTCCCTCTGTGCCTCGCGGTGCCCTCCGTACCGTTTTCCAGTGGAGGAAACTGCGGAGCAGCCCTCTGAGTTCCGCGTTCCCCCTGCCTCCACCATCCTAGTCGCCCCCTTCTTCCACCTTAGGTCGGTTCTTGGCTCTTCCACTGCTATTCCCCCAGGTTTACGGGCAGGGACTGGAAGGCTGGAAGAGATACCACGGTTTCTAACAGGGTCACGTGGGGCATGAGGATTCAGTCCTGCCTCTGATGCCTCCCAGGCTAGATTATTGATGCATTTTATTCAGCAAAGGACTGGAGAGATGGTACAGCAGGTATAATTACAAGCAGGGTGTGCTCCCCCCCAAAAAAAGTACAACTGAGCAAAGTGGACAGTAACAACTCAAGGCTCAGAGTCTCATAAACACACTAAAGCCGTCTCATTCCATGACATAGCATGGCAAAAGTACGGGGTCAGGGATGTGGCTCCATGACCCCTGGTAATAGCAACAACAAAGGGGCAAGGGGGGGAGAATTTTTTGTTTGGGTTTGGATTTTCATCTCATCTGGCAGCGCTCCTATCTCTGTCTTCAGGAATTACTCCTTGTCGGCCTGGGAGGACTAAATGTAATCCCTGGGATTGAACCAGGATCTACTGGGTGCGAGGAAAGTGCCTGCCCACTGCACTATCTCTCCAGACCCAGAGAAGGGAAACATGTTCTAAATTTTAAAAATAAATAGTGTTGAGGTCAGAGAGTTGTATACAAGGGTTAGGTGCTTCCCTCACATCTCACTGATTCTGGATAGATCCCTGGCACACCTATGGTCTCCAGCACCACCAAAGGTCACACCTGAACCCAGAGCCAGAAGTAACGCCTAAATATTGTTGGATGTGACCTCAACAACCCCTCTCCAAATGAAGTATTCATTATTTTAAATATACTCAGAACTGGTGGTCCAGAGTGTTAAGTGACCCAAGGAAGCTTAACATGTTAGATCTTTTAGTATCTCTGTCATCCCATTGATTGTGGAATTACTAGAGTGGGCACCAGTAACGTCTCTATTCCTCCCAGCTCTGAGATTTTAGCAGCCTCTTCTTACTCGTCTTTTCCCAACGATTGGAAAAGATGAGTTGGAGGCTCTTTCAGGGTCAGGGGAATGAGACCTATTATTTTTACTGTATTTGGCATATCAACACATCACGGGGAGCTTGTCAGGCTCTGCCCGTGCGGGCGGGATACTCTTGGTAGCTTTCGGGGTTCTTCGAGAGGCATAATATGCCTCTCAGATCTTTTAGCATAGGTTGGTAAAGAATCAACTAGCAAAGGGTAGCAAAGGATACCACAAAGGAAAGTCAAAGAGTATGAAAAAGTGAGGAACGAGAGACAGAAAGAGGGAGAGAAGGGAAAAGGGAGAGGGTGAAAGGTATCCATTTGCTCTTCTACATGGGTGGCTGGTTAATTCATTTTTAGAAAGGAAGTGGAAAATAGGGTGAATACTGCAAGGCAGTGTTTATCAAGCAGGCTTTTTTTAAATGAGAAATTAGAGTCTGTTTAATGTCAGAGGAGGAGGCGGAAGACAAAAAAGAAGAGCTGAACTTCTAAGTTAAGAAAGAAACAAGGGGGTGATCAGGATACGAGGCTGAGTGGTAGAGTACCTGGTATGCGGGATGCCCTGGGTTTGATCCCCAATTCGAGCACTGGATTGGGTGGTGGGGGGAGGAAAGAAGAAAATAACAAGGTAGCCCCCAGAGTCCGTTGTTGTTAGTTGACTTTGCTAGAAGAAAAAAAACTTTCTCCATTAACAGAAGATACACATCAGTTTGTAGATAACAGACAGGAGATGGAGTTCCTGTCTGATAACTGCTGATCTGCTGATGTGTTCTGTTGTGATGGTTCACCTCTACCACTGTGACCAAAAAAGAGTGCAACTAAATCTATGCCTCCATCTAGAAATGTTATCAGAACCACAAACAGAACTTAGAAAGCCTGAATACAAAGCTACAGCTTCTGACCGCTAATGTTGTTTTCCTCTGATTCCCTCATGGCGTCCACAAAGTCATGATGAACCGTGATCTAGACCTCAAATAGGACGAAGGGCTGGGAACACTTACAGACGGCTAAGACCTCATTCTCGGGGAACTCTTCGATCCTGGAAGAACAAAAGGGGACGATAACTTGAAATGAAAATAAGAAATGTGGGGCGGGAGCTATAGTACAGCAGGTACTTGCAGGTACTTGCACAAGGCCGACCAGGGTTCAATTCCCAGCAGCCCATAAGGTCCCCCAGGAGCACCAGCAAGAGTAATTCCTAAGTACAGAGCCAGGAATAACCCCATGAGCAATGCTGAGTATGACCCAAAAAAAGCCCAAAAAAAGTGAAAATATTTTCTTTTCTTTTTGGGTCACACCCAGCGATGCTCAGGAGTTACTCCTGCTTATGCACTCAGGAATTACTCTGGGGACCACATGGGATTCTGGGAATCAAACCTGGGTCAGCCACGTGCAAGGCAAACACTCTACCTGCCGTGCTATCGCTCCAGCCCCAAGTGAAAATAATTTTTAAAAAAGCAAAGAAAAGAAAAGAAGAAATGTTGGGCCTGGAGAGATAGTACAGTGGGTAGGGTGCTTGCTTCGTATGTGGCTGACCTGCATTCAACTCCTGATACCCCATATGATCCCCTGAACCTGCCAGGAGTGAGCCCTGACACAGAGGTAGAAGTAAGCCCTGAGCACCACAGGGTGCAAAGGAGGAGGAGCACAGGGAGGAGGAGGAGGAAGAGGAGGATAAGGAGGAGCTGGAGGAGGAGGAGGAGGAGGAGGAGAAGGAAGAAGAGGAGGAGGAGGAGGAGGAGAAGGAGGAAGAGGAAGAGGAGGAGGAGAAATGTCTTCAGATTCCTGGCCACTGGGTCAGTGTTTGTGTGTCTCTCAAGCAGTACTTATATTCAACTCGAACCGAGCAGTACCAAGACAACCACAATGGTATTAAGGGAACATTTGGTGCCAGGAAACAAGCCCAGGAACTTTGTGGGCTGGGCATGTATTCCAGCTCTTTAAACTATCTCTGAAATCGAACCCAGGAACTTTGTGGGCTGGGCATGTATTCCAGCTCCTTTAACTATCTCTGGAATCAAACCCAGGATCTTTGTGGGCTGGGCATGTATTCCAGCTCTTTTAACTATCTCTCTTGCCAGAAAATAAATGCTCAACAACTCTCCAGCCCACCCTCCTCCATCAAAAGTAATCTATTAACATCCTGTACCCAATATACAGATATTTTTGGTGGCGGTGGGGGGAGGGGTGGGTATACCCAGTAATGTTCGGAGTTTTTACTCCTGGCTCTGTGTTTGGGAATCATTCCTGGCAGGGCTCAGGAAACCATATTCAGTGCTAGGAGTGAACCAGGATTGACTGTATACAAGGCAAGTGCCTTAACCTTTGTACTATTTCTCCAGTCCTAGTAACTATTTATGGGCTGGAGCGATAGCACAGTGGGTAGGGTGTTTGCCTTGCACGCAGCCAACATGGCCAACCCGAGTTCGATTCCTCCGCCCCTCATGGGGAGCCCGGCAAGCTACCGAGAGTATCTCCCCAGCACGGCAAAGCCTGACAAGCTACCTGTGATGTATTGGATATGCCAAACACAGTAACAACAAGTCTCATGATGGAGACATTACTGGGCCTGCTGAGCAAATCCATGAACAATGAGAGGACAGTGATACAGTGATACAGTAACTATTTATAGAACCTGAGTTGGTTCTTTGCAGATGATGAGATGAGAAACAACTTACATTACATCCAGTGGTTCCCAAAGCTCACTGCACACAAGTTGCAAATACAAAGTGTTTTTACTGAACTGTGTTAAATTAGCATGAGACTGAAGGGTGGGAGGATCGAGTCTAGCTAAAGGTAAAGGTAAAGGCCCTCCCGTTGATCGTCGATTTGCTCGAGCGGGCCCAGTAACGTCTCCATTGGAGACTTGGTTGTTACTGTGGTTGGCATATCAAATACTCTCGGTAGCTTGCCGGGCTCTCCGAGAGGGGCGGAGGAATCGAACTCGGGTCGGCCATGTTGGCCGCTTGTAAGGCGAACGCCCTACCACTGTGCTATCGCTCCAGTCTAGCTAGTATCTATAAATTCTCTGTAATTACAGTTTTGTTTTGTTTTTTTTCACCATACCTGGAGGTACTCAAGGATCAAGGAGAGAAGCTCCAGGGAAAATCACCCAGCCAACGCCTTGATCTTGGACTTATAGCCTCTAGAAGTATGAGGAAATGATTGCCTGCTGTTTGGGCCAAAGGTTCTCCAAGTTCATTGCACACTGAAATCACCTGAACAGACTTCAAGTTCCCCCCTCCACTACCCTCAGGTTATTTGGATTTAATTTGTCATGGTTGTGGTCTGGCTCTCAACCACATTATTAGGAATATTAGAAAGATATAATGAATTCTTTTGTTGTTGTTGTTGTTGTTGTTATTTGGGGGCCACACCAAGTTCTTGCTTAAGAGTGAGCCCAGTAGTTCACTGGGAACCATATGTAGTGTCAGGGGTAAAGGTAAAGGTAAAGGTAAAGGCCCTCCCGTTGATCGTCGATTTGCTCAAGCAGGCCCAGTAACGTCTCCATTGGAGACTTTGTTGTTACTGTGTTTG